CTTTGTTATAACGAGTCAAAATGTGGAGTACAATTCGTCCTGGAAATAACTCGATGATACACCATGACCATACCCTATACCTATGAAAACACGCTACCGTATGTGGAGTCAGGTAGTTGAAAGCCTACGCAGTCGCCCATTCACCTGAAGTCCCCGCCTAGAATCCCTGACCCTGACCTACGGTAAAAGATTTTCGGTGCCCCACGACGCAGAACCTGCTGCACGGTCTCACTGACGAGATGCAACGGACGAAGTACCATATCCTTTCCGCCCAATGATAGTTCCAGGATCGCATCACACTTTGAGGTCAAAGGTTGCTCCCAACAAGCCCAATCTCTGTTTCCATTTCCTTAATACGAACTAAATTAACCAAGCACCGGCTACAATGTCCAAGAAAAATCTAGGAGCAAATGCTATTCGGTCAGTAAAAAGTACCCGCGTTGAATAAATGAAACATTTGCCTCTACGAGTCGAAGATATACCAAAAATGGAAGGTGAAAAATCCAGCCGGGTCCTTCAAGTTCAAGTAATATGAAAATGATATCTAAGGGTTCAATCGTTTCTAATACTGTTCTACAAACCGAGCGTATCGAATCGTTTGAAACCTTATCACATGAATATAGAGGCCCTAAAGAACATCTCGATACCCATGAAATATCAACTTTCTTAAAATTTAAAAATTCTTTCTAGCCAAATTAAAAGGAAAAAAAAATTAATAAATTCTATGGGTACCACGACCTGCCTTAAGACCTCCACACTGACGTTATGACATATTAAAAGATGCCGGTACACCCAGTCTCTGGCGTTTCCACACAGTGTCATCAAATTCGTGAACGCTAACACACAACAGTCATACAAAAAGTATATGGAAAAATATAAACAACAATTCTACATTACGGACAAAACGTTGAAAAATCGATAACCGCCCGTTACTTATTATTCCAGCAAGTGTAATACATATCGGCCGACTCCAACCACCGATAATACAGCAAAAGCGATACATAAGAAGGAAGTGCACGAAGTAGATTCGTGACTAGCGACTATAGTCGCCCGTCGTACACGAACGGCGTTTCGTGGCGGACAATAGTTGCCAATAGTAGCGAAAGGGTTAAGGTAATTACAACGCGGCTGGGGTTATCGCAACCCGCGGAGTTCGACCGAGAGAAAGAGGATCATCGACGGTGTCGCAAACCTCCAGGACCGGCGAGGGATGGAAGGGAGAGGGAAACGAATTGGCGCGAGCGGGGCGAGAAGAGCGGGCCGAAAGAGGTCGGCAAGAAGGGGAGGAAGGGAAGGAAGGGAGAAAGGGGGAGGGAGGAGAAAGACGAGGAAGACGATGACGAGGGAATATCTCACGGGGCCCGCAGCGAAGCGTTGCGGAGCCCCGGAGATGACGGGCGCGGCATTGCCCCGCCGAATAGTAAAAGTCAGGGAACAATGGGTAAGCGGAATGGTACAACCGAGACCTTTCAGGCAATCGGATAACTGGGAAAAATCGGAGGGAATACAATGGATGGAAGTACGCCCTCCCCGCCGGCTCGCCTCCCGTCCCCCCGCGCTCCTCCCGCGGGGCGCCGCGGACCGACCTCCCTCGTCCACCCACCGCGCATGCCCCTCGAGGCACACCCACTTGACCCCGATGTTAAAAGAAATTAAATTATGTAGGCACTAATGTTACTCCGTGCCGAGCCAAGTCTTGGACCTGGTCTTATTACGCCCGGCGATCTATCGTCCTGGCCCTGCCCAACCTGGGACGCCCTCTCGCCCCATATATCGAGCCAGCCGACCAGATCGATCGCTCGCGTTCCCGTCATCTCTGCCGATCGATGATCGACACTCGCGGAGGACTAATCCCGGGACAAGGATCGCGAGTATCTCCGTGGAAATATCCGTGGTGGACGTGCCAGGTCTCGACACGGTGTGCACCGTTAAAAGGGTTTCGACGTTTCGAATACTTTCCAATAACCGCGTATAATGAGGCCAGAAACAGCAACGCTCGACATGAAGAGGGGACAGATGTATATTGCAAGAAGAATAGCGTTTCCACTCAGGAATTTCCGATTCGAAATCTTAGCTAGACTTTAAATCCGAGTAAGCCCTCTTTAAGTCCTACTTTCGATCTCGTACGTCCTACTTAATACGAATTAAGTCCTGCTTCAGGCCCACAAGTAGATGCAATGAAAACATCTGCCACTTTTAAGGTCGAAAGTAAGACAATAAAAGTGTACATGTTGAGTAGGCAAGACATCGGCTTCTTTAATCTCCGGCCCAATCATCTCGTGAGACGATCATTGGACTTGCCTACGACCTGGATCTTTCGGGTTCAACTCACCCGACCACGAGAACGATGGCTTTGAATGTTCCTGCCCCTTCCTGGCCCACTAAGTGAGGCACCGATATTAAAACGGTCATGCAATAAAACTTTGACTTTATGTCTACCTCTCCATCGTCTTTGAATTTAAACAGGTTAGACATCCCAACCGTAGACGCGGTTTCGCTAGTAGAGAAAAGAAATCGATATCCATTGATATAAATCCACCTCCAGGATATGGAAAGAGGGTTAGCAGAGTTTCGCACCAAATGCGTTTAGAAAAATTCGAGGTCACCATAAGTACTCGGCATTACTCTTTAAACGATATCATGGGACAGAGGTACCGATGGACCGTCAATGGTTTCCCATCACCAGCAGCAAGAGAAGTTTTACTAATGCGTAAATAGATAAAAAGAAGTAAACGGTTGATATAAATCCACGTTTCCGAGAAGGTAAAAGTCGCGGTTTCTTTCCTTCCGTCTCATCCCCTTCGAATCGATCAGAAATTCGTTAGAGCCACCGCGATCAATTCCACCTCCAGGACCGAGAACCAGTTGCCCGTAAATAAATGGTTATCCGTTATTGCCGAATGCATCATTTGTCATATGCTACTCGTGCCGCGCCAGCAGGCCAAGTTTTAGACCTCATTTCACCCGACGATCTATCGCCCTGGTGCGGTTACGGCTCTATAATAAGTTCGATATATCGAGCCGCGTGACCGAATCGACCCCTCGAATCGCGACCACCTTTGGTATACAATCGAAGTGAATCACCGGTCGCGTTAATCGAGACTTTCCAATTGACTACCATGAATTCTGCGATTATGCACCGAGATGTAAGCTAATTGCGGGGCACAAACTACCACCGGAGCGCAATTTCTTCGCTGATCGCTAACTTAAGGCTTTACGATAACATACTACTCTAATTACCCATTTTCACCACGGTGTACTCTAGGTTGCTAGAATGAGCTTTTCGCACGCCAATTATATACTAAAGAGTAAGATTGCTTAGAGAAGAGAAATACATATAATCTCTCCTAGCTTCCGCGGTTCTCAGATCTCTGTTTCGCAGTTTCAGATCGGATCTATCATTGCACATTTCGTCATGAATAAAGGTAGATAATGTAGTAATGACTCATTACGGTAACTAACTACTGGTTTTCATCTTTCCGCCCTAGCTTGTTTCGCGCCTTCTTGCCGGAGCTACGATTCAGCATTTCTTATCGAAGAACTTACTATAGTATGATTAGTTCCACGTTAAATACCGATAATTTCATTACTATATTGTGTTGCTATATTAAAGCATTGTTTCACGGCGTAAATATCAGCAGGTTGCTGACACGAGATTGAATATACTTTTAAAATAAAGGTTCCCCCCATAATTAAAGAATATGATAAAACTATAGTTTCACCTCGGGCTAATCGAAGAAAAAGTCATTGCCTTGTTGATTAATAACTCTACATATTTTCAGGGTCAGCCTTGAATAAGAACAATAAAGCAAACCCCGAACGTAGGTAATTATTACAGAACGCGGTATTAACCCTCTGTAACCCAAATTTTGTTTCAAACTAAGGAAAAACTGATATAACGTTAAATTTGAAAAGATTAACCTCCTGATATTAACTAGTTGTTTATGAATGTACAATTTATAAACAATGTCATTGGTTACAATGGAGTGGTACAATAATAAAGTACTACATTAAGTTTCCCCGAAAATATCGAATAAGTCTTAAAAATTATCGATATACAGATATGTGACTTCAAAGTCGCGTGGCGTTACAGAGAGTTAATGTTCTACAAAGACTGAAGAACATCTCAATTTAAAAACGATAATAATGTATCAAGCACACGTCAAATTTCCTTTGTTATAAACTGAATGCTACCAAAATCCGCAACAGTTTGTTCCTTAATGACTTAATAGTTGAATAAAAAGTAAAATAACGGAGCGGTTAAAAATGGGTTTACGTACGAACGGCCAAATGCCCAAGATCGGATCTGCATATTTCGGTAAAAAAAACCAAGTTGATGCATTTACCTGAATCCAGAGAAAGTTGAATAATTGAATATTATAACAGTATTCGTTGTTACTTTTGCTTAATACATTATTAGTTGAAATGTACAGAATATTGACAAAAAGCAGAGGCAGAAATCAAACTTATAGCGCCATCTGTGAAAATGCAGCTCCAATAGGAGATGCATCCTCGTACGAAACTGTCGGTAACACAGATCACTGCTGTAGTCGCTTTCCGCAACGCACTTCAGAATATAAACTAAACCATCTTTAATCTCATTCGTGATTAAATTTGCCAATGCTGACATTAAATAATTTAATAAAATTACTAATGTAATTAAAATGTTTTAAGAATGCAAGCTGCCACACAAAACTGTACACCCTTAAAGAGGATATTTCATTACAGAAATGCAGAATGTGTAATTACTCGTCAATAAGCCTACTAATTACCAAATTATCTATAAACAAGATCTGAATTTCTATACTTGCAATATGTCAGCAATCTACCGTTCTGCATACCACGGATTACTTTTAATTTGAATGGTTACTTAGTCGTTTAAAACTTGTTTAACTTTTTTTAATAAGATTTGAGACTAAGATGGTCATTGTTTCATGAATCGGTTATCCTTTTTTCGTGAATATTTCGAAAACATTGCTTCGTTAGAGTCATGCACATACCTTGTAAGTTGTCGAGCATGTAGGACAGCAGCTTGAGAGTTCCAGATGGTTCACCATACAATGCCATCACTTCCTTATTCAGTGGGTTTCCATGAAGTCCAAGCACTTGTAGTTGAAATAACTTTCCTAACTCGTACGGTAACACGCGAAGATAGTTTTGGTTCAACAACAACTCCCTGTAGAGAATAAAACATCAGTTTTACTTACAAATTCAAACAGTATTTGTCTACTATTTCACATATTTCAAGTATGATACAATAAATAAAATTGTTATTGTATTTTATTGTCGTAATCTACAAAGAACATGATTTTCAGTTATAAATTTTTACCTGAGGTAGATGAGGTCCCCCAGCTCAGCAGGCAAACTCCGAAGCTTATTACTGCTAAGATCTAATGCTCGTAAATTAATTAAACGGCCGATCTCAGGTGGTATCCTTTGTAGGCTATTATCATTGAGATACAAAGCAGTTAAGTGAGTTAGCTGCCACAAATTTGGACTCAAATTCCTTATACTGCCTGTTATCTCCAACTCCGGCCAATAAGATTTCTTCCCAGAGTTTGCATCCTCGGTCGACATGATGGTGTGGGTACGACGTGGGTTGGTGTTTTCATACTTGTCCTTATGATTGCGGGACATCCTATATCCTTTAAAAAATAAAATAAAATATGTTAAACCATCAACATTATTACTGGTATAAGCATTTGCTGGCACACTAAGTGTCCCAACAAATTGCTTTAACTTTTATTTTTAACGGTATGTCTTAGCACGTTAAGAATGTTTTATTACGAGTCCACAAACCAACCTAAATTGCAGAACGGAGAGACATGCATAGGACACTTGGTAGGAAGGAGTTTGAACTTTCCAGGAATTTTGATACGGAATAGCGGAATTTCTGTTTTTATAAGACATTCGATGCACACCAGCATATCAGGAGGAGCCATGTTAATTAAAAATCCGGCACGTTACATCGAATAGTCTCCGTATCATTTGATCAGGGAAAAAAGGATTACAGGATGCCAATCGGATAAACTATAAGTGGAAACCATAATGCTGATTGAATTTTACACTGAAAAGGTGTTAAATTATGAACTACTAATTTTATCACTTTATTTGTTCCCATCCCTCGATTACGCAAACAGGTATTCAAATGTATTGTGAATAAATTGCACATCAAAGTTACGATTGTTCATGACATCCTCACAAAGCTATTATAGAACCGATTTTCCCTATTGCCTTGTACTAATATAACCTTAATAATATCAATTGAATAATGTACTACAATATGTATCGTTAATACTCAAGAATGTATTTAAATCGACAATATCATAAACGATAGAAATAATGTAGCTTAAGTTGTTCATAAACTGCTTATAATAAAACATTAAACAGTACAGATTATATTATCCACAAGTAATAAAACAATCTCTTTGAAATGCCAATCGAATCACTATCAATATTTTTAATAATGATTCTACATTTGAATCTACGAATTATAATTGCACTACTCTGAATGTAATTCGAAATGCTAACAGTAATAAACGTGTTACTCTTTGAAACATTTTTAATATTTTTATTATAATAACTGAGTCAGTTTAATAGAAATTAACTTACAAATGATCAATGACCAATTAAAATATAGACGAGCATCCATTTTATCATCCAAATACCACGCAATTGCCAAATACTATGTATTTTGAGGTTAATCCTCTATCACTAGTCTTCATTTCAAAGCAATATTGACCTTCATAGTTCAAATAAATCGTATTGGATGAATTGGACGTTAATGTCAAGTAACCATTATAAATTAAACAAACAATTATATCCCAATTGAAAAATGCAACTGAGTTACAATCGTATTATAAATTTAGAGAAGTCGTACAATTTAAGTTATCGGAAGATTTGCCATAAACAGTGAGCTTAGGTTACTTCAAATGTACATTATAATACCACTAAAAGTTACATACTTAGCCCTTGAAAAATAGACCACTGATAGTATTTCAGGTAAAAATGGTGTCTCGTCTTTTAAACAGCGTAACATAAACGTATCGCTTCGAGTCACCCTATACAAGTGGTACTCCCCTAACCTAACAACGGGCAATTCCGTTAAACTGTTCCGTCAAGAACACATAAGGCCTTTTCGTCATCCTCTTTAATCTCCCATAAATAAATCCAGATGTGAGAAATTCGCGCCAATCACAGATGCAATTTCCTTGGAGAAGTGCCGCTTTTTTAAGTGAGAACAATTATTTCTTTCCCGTGGGGTTCATGCACTCTCTACGACAGCCGCTCGCGTTATGCGAATTTCTCGTCCGGCCTAAGTCCCACCGTTGTGAAATTCGGCGAAATACAGGAGGACACGGTTACGCACCTTCATCTACCTCTTAGCACACACAAAACGCACGGGGAGTTGAATCCGAGTGAAAATATTCGCGTAAACAAAACTACCTTGACAAACACAGATCGTCCATTTATCAACTGCACCGATCGCGCATTTTACCCTGCTCTGATTGGTCGGCAGGCGGTGGCAGGCGGTCGGCTCTGCAGCCGAATCTTCCCGAAGCAGCCGACATCGTGAAACCATAGAGAACGAAATCTGAACCATTCTATAGAGGGGAACTGCTAAGCAAAGAAATGTATTTACTCGTCAGTAATCAAGCCACCTATCGCGTGAAATTTTAAGACGATCATATAATGCAGGGTTGGGATAATTTCACGATTTTCGAGGTTTTTGACGTATATTACGTAAATCAAGTAGTTTACAGTAAAAAACGTAGTAAACCAGGAGAAAACGTATCAAATATGGCGGACAAAACAGACGTAGGGCATGCGGTATCCGCTAGGTTATAAACATTCATCTTGTCCATTTGTTTCATTCCATAATTTACTTTTTGGTCTTCTACTTTATACATTTTGATACAAATATTGGTTACGAATCTTACAACTTCAAATAGCCGTTATCAGCCGTTATAAACAAACGTCAAATGCACCACAGATGAGTTGGGAGATTGCTCACGGGCAGGGTCGCGCGAT